GGAGGGGGGGGGGCGGCTGGCAGAAGGGATATCCTGCTGTCCGGAGAGACAGGCCGAGCTCGGAATTGGGAGGGAGGGAGAGAGGGAGCCGGGCGGACCCGGGCTCCGGGAGCAGCAGCAGCGTGCCCTGTGGATGCTCCGCGGACTGAAGGATGGGGGAATGGACGATCCTGGAGCGGCTCCTGGAGGCCGCGGTCCAGCAGCACTCCACCATGATCGGACGGTAAGCCTGTTTCTCCTGGGGAGCCGCGGCCGGTGTGGGGGGGGCAGGGGGGGGCTTTGTCTGCCCCGGGGCTACGGGCTGAGGCCGAGGGAAGGAAGGCAGAGGGCCAGCGCCGGGCTGGGAGGCTGGGTGGAGGGAACAGATCGGAATGGGGCTGGTCGGGGCAGGACAAGGGCTGCTCTCCCGAACAAGTGGGGAGGTGTTGTGTGCTGATATCTGCAGGACGGTGGAAGAGCCCGGTAAAGTACCGAGAGGCTCAGTGAGACAGGGTTGGCGGTGCTGGGAGACGGGCAGGACTGCTGACCTGGAATCGTGGCCGAGCCGCTGGGAGACCAGTCTCTCGGGCCAGCCCCCGCTGTGGAGCAGGTGTGCTATCACACTGGGGCTGAGGCGACCGGCATCGTGCAGCCTCCTGCAGTTTTCACGGCAGTGTCTTGTAACGGGGCATCGTGCCGTCAACGTCAGTGTCCCGTCCGGAGGTTTGTCTCATTCCGGTGATTCAGCTTTTATCGCGCTCCTTTGTTCCTTGTTGGCGCAGTGTTGTTTTGTCTTTAACGCATGTTTGTGGGGAGGTGTCTGAAACCCGTCTCCTCCTGGGCGTTCTCGCGTGCTGCTGCGCTGTGACAGGCGCGGTCGGGAGTGAGAGAACCCTCTGGGATTCCCCACAGCTGTGCCCCTGGCCAGAGAGCTGGAAGGTTGCAGGTTCTAATCCTGCGTGAGGTGAGGAGCTGTGATTGTTGCAGTACTTCACTCAAAACCGCGATCCCTTCGTTCTGTTTCCCTCTCTGGCGACGTTGTCCGTCTGGAGTTTTGTTTGTTGAAAGCGGGCGATTTTTTTCGGGACGTGTTCTGAGCATTTAATGGCGGGAACGCCAGCCCCCTCCCCCTCTGCCCTTCCTCACTGAAGGCCCCGCCCTTAATCCTCTCCCTCCGAAGACCAGCGAGACTCCGTTCCTTGAGACTGGTGGTCTGCGCAGGACCGGAAACAATCTCACATCCAACCTGGTAGCCGGCTGTCCTCTTGGATGGAGCAGCGGGCTGGGATGCGATCAGTGGGCTCCAGGTTGCTGAACTCACCCGGTGCGAGTCTGCTACCTGGAGCACAGCTGTCAGGCAGGGCTGCAGGACCACAGGTCACTGCTGGAGCTCGGAAACACGCCTCTGAAAGGATTTTATCTTTGGGGCTGATGACAGGAAAGGTCCAGCACCTCTTACAGGTTTCTCGGGACACTGCTTGACACATGCTGAATTAATTATTGAGAATCACAGCACAGTGGAAACGCCTGGCGAAACCATGGCATGCTGCAAAGACACCCTGCACAGTTTCCATGGCAAACCACACAGAGGCATGTTATCAGCTCTAAGTTACTGTAGCAACGTTTTGCAGGTGAGACAATAAGGATTCGTAGATTACTTATGTCCATTATGGATCTGGGTTGTGCTTGCTCCTTGATTTACTGGCTAGGTCATTAAAGGGGAAAAAAGCATTCCTTTTGCTTGCACATGCACGTGGAGACCTCTGTGTAGGACCAGCAGGTGTGTGGATTCAGCAGGACTGTCCACCAGCCCTGGCCTTCACCCCATAGTGACTGTACTATAAACATGGTTGTGTATACAGTAGATTTGTGACAGCATGGTGTCAGGAGGGAGCAGAGAGACGGTGTGTGCTGAGAGAGTGTCAGGGGTGAGAGAG